TGATGACAAATGATGACTTTTTTGGGCTTTGTTAGTAACATTGAACACCATGTTAGGACAGATTTACATGAACCTCAGCAAGGCTTAGTGTTAAGGTATGAACCAGACCACTAAGAAAATATATTTTGTGTACGCATTGAAGAGAGGGATCAATGTTCTTTTCTTTTTTCATAAATCTATAATGATGATATTTAGATAGAACGGACCACATATTTTATTCAGTCAAGTCAAATCTAGACAAGTTTGCCTTAATTCTCAGATGGGGAACTAATCTTGTTTCACCAAAGATGTCTATTTCTTTGATGTCTTCTCCTGAATTATCTAGAAATGAAAAGAAAATGTTAATGTTAAAGCTACAGTGCACGCTGACTTCTAGAAGCAGAATATTCTGCTATTTGAGGGCGGGGGTGGTTCTGAAAGAAAAACTTAGTTGTGTGACATGTGTCATGGGCAAAGACTTTGAAGCAGATGTGCTGATGCCAGGAACTCCAGCTTGTTTCACTGTGACAGACATCCTGCCTACTTGTAATGCAGTGACTTGGGGTTTTTTTCCCATGGATTCCCATCTTTAAGATGAGTTGCACTTTGCACACTGAAAAAAAAATCTAAGGAAATGTGTACATTTCTGCTATATGCACAAGCCCGAAGCCAGAAACTACATAGTTCACAGATCATGCTTTGTACAAATCATTCTAAATTTGCACAAGTTTCACACAAATATCCTCAGTGATTTTTTTAATGAACAAATTGTAGCCCATCTTAGAGATATGAATCTGTGAGCCAGACTATTTGCATAACAGTGAACTGATGCCAGTACGAAACTGGAATTCAGAATGCTAATCCACAGCTTCCTTACACATATCCAGTAACAGTGCTAGGCGATTAGCTCAAAATGGAAGATGCAGTCCTTAAGTTGCCATTTTTGAAAAGTGCATTAATGCTTGATATTTTGCTTTTCTGCAAAGGCAGAAAGCTCATTTCCAATAACAGAAGCTGATGCCCTTGAGAACTTGAGGGCACTGTTTCTGTGGTCCATGAAGCATGGCTATAAAAAAGGTTTAGTCACCTGACTCTAACCTGAGAATTTTGCTTTAGAGTTAACTTCATTATACAAATTATTAGTCTTCCTTTTCCCAAAAAACTCAGAAAATTTCTGTACGATGGAGCTAAATTTTTCAGGCTAAATAACGTTCTTCATTTCCAAATATAGTGTGCAAGTTATTTTGGGCAATGCAGGCAAGCTCAATTAACAGAGCTCAAACATCATGTGCCGTTATTGAATTACCAAAGCAACAAAATAATCAGGGCTGTAGGACCTTGCATATCCTTCACAAGTGAACTGCAGAAAGAGTACATTGCAGTAGTTGTCTTTTCAATGCAGTGGAGATGCCTGTCTGTAATGCATTTTTTCATAGGGGACCGTCATACGATTGCTTCTGGTTACCGGGATCTAATCCTGGAAGAGACAACTCTGCAGATGACCCTTGTCAAATGCAGAATCGGACCCAGCACCCCTTTTAGCAATCCTTTGGTTGGGGAAGAAATTATCAGGAGCAGCCAGAAATTTGAACTACGCCTCCATTAGGTCTGTGTAGGTCTGCATTAATAGATAACGCTTACATGCCTGTAAACCCACACGCCTGCTTATGGGCTTGTGCACAGAAGGCAGCTTCCTGAGCAGCTGGCGCAGCCTGCAAATTCAGTAATGCGTTGATGGATAGATGGCGTAGCTAAGTACATTCAGAAAACTATAACCTAAGTGCTCATGTCTAGTCAGATTGGGAATTGAAACCGTAATGGTTGCTGCGGCTGTAACTTTCCAGACTGCACTGCACCAAGCAAGCATTTCCTGTATGGAGCAATTTGTCTCTGGAGAAGGATAAAATATAGGATAGTATTTACAGCAACCCCAAGCCATCTTATAAAGTTGTTTTATGGAGAGCTGTCAGTGCAAATAGCACTTCAGTACACAAAGTGCTTGTGGTAATTTTATTATTTTTCCCCTCTCACTGGAAGGGATCACCCAGAGCTTCTGGTATCGGGGAATGAATCGATCAACAATCGATCTAACTGCTCTGAAAGCATCTGACAATGATAGGGTGAGACCAGATGACCACCATATGATATTGGGGCTGGTATGCTGGACGTGGACCAGGGAGATCCAGTTACAGAATCTGGCCCTTTGCTCTAATAACCACCACTCCATCTAGCCTACCTCACAGGGTTGTTATAAGGATAACATGAGAAGGGGAATTATAAATGTTGCCACGCCTCCTCGGAGGAAGATCTTGATACAATATGAGACGTAAATAGTCAAATTTCATGAAGGGCTTATTGAACACAGGGGCTTTTTTAACACAGTAAATGAGGGAGCATACGATTGGGCTACAGCTATTTCAAATATAATGCAGATGGTACATATTGAAAGTATTCCCCATAACAGTAAGGGTTGGGCTTTACACTCCTATTCAGTTTAAAACCCTTCTTTTTCTGGAGCTAGAAGTTCAGGACAAGGTTCAGGTGTCTATATTCCAGGGCCACCCTAGAGTAAGCACATTGTCCAGCAACAGCAGACCTCTCTAGCCAGAAGAGGGTAATTATTCCATTCATTTGAAGTGCCTAGAGCCCATTCAGGTGTGGTGCAACAAAGGTGCCATCTTGTGTATGGCAGAAGACAGGTCTGCAGCTCCCAGGATGCCCCATCCAGCCGTGCTGACTGGAGCATGCTAGGAGTTGTAGGCCTTTTCCCCTGTTGAAACCTGCCTTAATTCTCCTGATTCCCCTCCTAGGCAGGTGATTTGTAATCTCCTGACTCAGTCCTCCTTTATCCTAAAACATCCATTACAAGATGATGTCGCTTATAGTAAGTTTCATACAACAGAGAGAAACAGTGGCTTGTGAATGACCCACGCCGATTATGAAAGAGAATTCCTTGTTTGTTTGCAGAGGTGGTTACTGTGAGCAGACCTAAGTAGAATAACTACAGAATCTTTCTTTCTTTCTTTCTTTCTTTCTTTCTTTCTTTCTTTCTTTCTTCTTATTTATGCATGCATGCATGCATGCCCTCTCTGAGACAAAAGCCCAGAAAGCCTCATATGTCAGCTTGCATGGATGGCTGGGCCCATATAATCCCTTGTGTCCAAATAATTATGGGCCCATACAGTCCAATAACCAGGGCTAATTTTCATTTGTTCCAAATGTTCATTTTGATCCAATCCAAGATTTGGTTGAGGTTGTTTTTGGCTTGGATTTTCCCAGTAAATTGTAATGACAAAGAGTGGAATGTTTGGAGAAGAAATGCATGTTGCCATTTGCATACATGCTATCATCATCTTGGCCTCGGTCAATAAGTAATATAGATTTCAATTATCTGTATGGCTGTGAAATAGAAGGAGATCCCAAAGTGATGTCAGTGAAAGTATAAATTGCAAAGCTTTCAAATCTGTTAATATAAATATAATGAGGGAGCACATTTAAGTAGTAAAGTTTTTCCAGCAATCCATCTTGCTGACAATTTCTCAATAGAAAAGGTGTAATAACCTCAATTTGATACTGCAGATTGACAGTGACTGTCTTGAGCAAGTAAAGCAACAGGTTTTATTTTATTTGTGGTATTTGAATTGGTTGCTCAATAACCTGGTTCTCTGAGCAGCTTGCAAAAATAATTTTAAAAAACAAGCACACACTATTGTCCTTCCCAAAAAGCATTATGACACATAAATTACAGCCTAAAATATCTACCAGCAGAGAGGAATAAAATCGATTTCACAGCATTGCCCATACCAGATCAAAACCATGAATTAAAAATGGTCTTAAGCTTTGCCTTAAGGTCCTTACAGATGCACACACATGCATGCATGCATGCGCACGTGTGCACGTGCACGCACGCATGCACGCACACACACACACACACAGAGAATGAGAGAGAGAAGTGAAAATATATTTGGATGGCTAGTTTTCTCTTACTCATGGTTACACAAACAGCTAATCTGGATTTTGGTGGGCAAGGCACAGAAAGAGTTCATGCTATCCAGAGAGAAAGTGCTGGGCATTCCTGAACCTGGGAAGCAGAGGATTTAGGATCCCCACAGTGGGTGTTTTCAACTAAGTTTCCTTCTAGGAGCAAGACGCAGCAATCCCAATAAACTGAACTAAAATTCCAACATAGCCATTCATGATGAACAAAAGTCCGCTGTGACTTTTGCACACAGGTTTGCTTGATGCAAAGAGAGGAGGCAGTGGAGGGACAGCACAGTAATTATTCCAGCCTGTTTTCTACAGATGAAGGGCGGGACAGAATGCCCTGCCACATGTTAGGCTAACAAAGTCTTGGTTATGTGTCGGCAAGCAAAAGTGCTCCGGTCCTTCAGTGAAATCTGACTGTGTGCAATCTAGACATTTTGAAATGTGACTTCCAACATCTTTTTTACCCTGTAGCACACAAATTGATACGTTTATATTTCCCATAATAGGTACAATTCCGAAACAAGATTCCAAATTAAGTACAAGTTCCGCATCTGTTGTGCATGACTTAATTTTCTAAGGTCTCTCAACCCCCAAACCTGGACTTATACCAAGAACACACAAAATACTTCTGAGTATCTACAGAGTGAATTTATGAACTGAGCAAGTGCAGTTAACCAATCCATACTGGAATTTGGGAGAAATGACAGATGGTTCAGTTCTTGACACTAGATACCTCTTTCTTTAGAAATTACCGACTGAATAAAATAGGAAATCATGTTATTAAAAAGGTAGAGTCAGAGAATATGGAAGGTTTTCCACCAAATAAACAGCTGAATTAGTAGTACCAAAAATGTTTTAAAATCACATGTTTATATGTTACTTATCCGTGTTTCACACCTTCTAGCCTCTTAGCCAGTAAATAAAGTACTCATAATTTCAAGAAATACTGTAACATCACATTTTCACGACAGGTTATGTTTTCTTCTTTCATTATTGCTATGTCAGTATTAATTATTTTCTTTCCCTTTGTGCAGCTGGACAATCCAGATGAACAAGCAGCACAAATCAGGCGGGAGTTAGATGGACGTCTTCAGATGGCAGATCAGATTGCCAAGGTAACAATGCTACTACTTACTGTGCCAGGAATTTACACAGGCTCTGCTTATTAAGACAGGCATGTGTTTCTTTGCCTGTTGATGCCTCCGTGCAGAGTGTGGCCCCTGACAAACCAGAGGCATTAGGACAAAACTAGACTGTCACTCACACAATTAGCAATAGTGAGATCTGCCAGTCAGAGGTCCTCTCAGCCCGTTCATTGAGCATTGACTGACAAGTGGGCAGCCTTTCTCTCTCATGAGAAAAGAGAAGCTGAAAGCATGTGGGGATCCGCCAGTGTTCAGCAACGGGACTCAGGTAGCTGCGGAAGCACCCTTTCCTCTCCCTCCTATGGTAGGAGATGCAAAGAACATGAAGGTGTTGGCGACTGCTTGGCACTTAAGGAGGGACTGCAGGAGCACCCATCTCTTGGCCTCTCCAATAGGGAGAGGAGGTGGAGAACATGGCTCCATCCCCAGCCCATCTGTGTCTTCCTCCCACCTTTTGAGCTAAGCAAAGGATGTGGAGCTGCCCACATGATCCCATCCATGGTGAGCCTCAAGTTTGGGAGGAAGGCACTTGTCTTGCCACACTCACCAGAGCGCAGTGTCATGCTCCCTATGGCAAGTATGGAGCACATAAGAGTTGGAGCCAGTCTCAGGGTATGCCAGCCTGAGCACCCTGAAAGGAAGGCGGGATACAAGCATAATAACGGGGAAGCATCCCCCTGTATACTTGCATTTATTCTGATAATTATTTAAAGTAGGCACATGAGGCTTTTCTAATAAAAAAAACATTCAAAGCATTTAAGAAAAATACAGGAATAATAAAACGATGATAAAATCACAAGTTTACAGCTAAAAAAGGCCTTTGTCCAAAATACATTTGAAATGGATCCTAAAAGAGAGTGAAATCCACTAAAAATCATAAAATTAACCCCTTCAGTACTTAGATGAAGGAAAACGTCCAGCTTGGCATCAAAACAATTAAAAAATGGCCCCTCACCCACTTGTCTAGGAGCATATTCTAGTGGCGACGCTTTGTCCTGAGTTACCACTTATGTCACCTGTCCTGGAATAGATACCAGAAGAGGGCCTTTGATGGAGACCTTGAAGAAAATGTAAGAAGGTGCTTTGTAACTGAATCAGACATCGTCTATCTAGTCCAATATTGTCCACACTGACTAGCAGCAATCTGTTCCAAGGTTTGAAAGAGGACATTTTTCCAAATCTACCTGGAGATATCATGGATTGTACCTGAGATGTTTGCATGCAATGCATGTGTGAGAGTCAAGAGTAAGTCTGGATGAACACCTGAGAAGGAACTATTGACAGGCTCCCTCTGAGCTTGTTCTCCTCTTTGCCGCTGCAGCCTGCTTGTTTTCCTGTCCCTCACCGTAGCCTGTATAATCCTGGTGATGAGACAGACGAGCAGTAGATGCCATCGCTCTCTGGCTCTCTGGCTGTCAAGCAAACAAACGGTAACAATGATAAGGATGAGGAACAATAGAAGCTGGTGAGAATGGTGGTGAGAAAGTAATTCACCACCATTAGGGTGACTTGTCCAAGGGACCTCCACATCCTGAGGCAAGCACTGTCAGGCAGCTGAATATGAGAGAAGGTGCTTCTTTGCATTCTTTTAATATATCTTTTTATAACACAAGTAAGTTGCTGAAAAGGTGCTTTGTCTGTGATCATCCCTCAGTTCAGGGAGTTTCTGTTCCTCGTTTTAATTCATACTGGTTGTAATGCATATAAGGAAACTTGCTATATTCTTCCATATTGCCAGACCAAGATTTACAACTTGTGTAGATCAAAGGTGAGCATCAAACATAAAATGAAGTGCAATGCAAGCCACAGACTTCTGAAATCTGGTCACCGTGTTCTAGCCATGTGGCTACAGTTGTTCCTCACTAGCAAATAGGAAAAAATATTCTCAGTGTGAGGAAAATCTAAGCCCAGGAGGAAGCTGAAAAGATGGAAGACGATACCCAGTGCTGCCACTGTGCTAGCAGGAACTCAGGGCAACAGGAAGCTGAACTCTGGAAGTTAGTCAATGTGACCGCTTCTGGAATTGTGCTTGCCCTAGGGAGCTCTGTTGACTTGTTCCTTTCCAGAAGTGGTAGCTTCACCTAGGTGCCTGGCATCTAGGTGCCTTGCAGTTTCTGATGGTGCTAGCGGTCCCTCTCGCTAGCACCACCTATTGAGAGCTAATGTCCTGCCAGCATTGAATACAGTCCAGAATAGGCACAGTGCTGGTTGTGAGCCAAAAGAAAAATAAAACAAGTTCCTTGTAATGCAGACAGAGGGTACGGGCCCTTGCTCCAAACAGGCTGTAAACCGCATGAGGAGCTGGATGGATCCGGATGGATTCCTGGGGGCCCTGGGGGAATTTCCGGCTGACAAGACTGGTGCTCCTGTCGAGGCTCTGGTCGAACTGTGGAACGGAGAGATGACCAGGGCTGTGGACACAATTGCTCCTAAGCGTCCTCTCCCACCGGGCAGAGTCCGCTCTTCCCCTTGGTATACACCTGAATTACGGGCGATGAAGCGAGTTGGGAGACGGCTAGAGCGTAGGTGGAGGGAAATCACGGGATGAATCTGACCGAACACACTTGAGAGCCCACTATCGGGCCTATGCTGTGGCGGTGAAGGCGGCGAAAAAGAAGTTTTTTTCTGCTTCCATTGCCTCCTCACAATGCCGTCCAGCGGAGCTTTTTCAAGTGGTGCAAGGCCTGGTTCGCCTGGGTCCTAAGGAAGATCCGATGCCACCCTCAAAGGCCCGCTGTGACGACTTTGCCAGGCATTTCAGGGAGAAAATCGCTCAGATTCGTCACGAGCTGGACTCCACTAATGAATCAGAGGTCTCTGAGGAGTCGCCAATGCCACCGTCTGGTCCAAAATTACTGGAGGAATTTCAATTATTGCGGCCCAATGATGTGGACAAGGTGCTTGGAAGAGTACGTCCCACCACTTGCCTATTGGATCCTTGCCCGTCTTGGTTAATAAATAACTCCAAGCACGGGATTGGGACCTGGATTTTGGAAGTGGTTAACGCTTCTCTGAGGGAGGGTCGAGTGCCTGCCCCTTTAAAGGAGGCGGTAATACGACCGGTCCTGAAGAAAGCGTCACTGGATCCAGAGATGGCCACTAACTATAGACCTGTGGCCAACATCCCGTTTCTGGGCAAGGTGCTGGAGCGAGTGGTGGTGGGACAACTCCAAGCACTCTTGGAGGAAACTGATTATCTGGATCCTTTTCAGTCCGGCTTCAGACCTGGGTACAGTACTGAATCTGCCTTGGTCGCCCTGTACGACGACCTGTGCAGGGAGAAGGACAGGGGGAGTACATCCCTGTTGGTTCTTCTGGACCTCTCGGCGGCTTTCGATACCATCGACCATGGTATCCTTCTGGATAGACTTGCGGGATTGGGGGTTGGAGGCACTGCTTTGCAGTGGTTCCGCTCCTATCTCGACGGTCGATTCCAGAAGGTAGTGCTGGGGGACCATGTCTCTACGTCATGGCAGCTATGTCATGGGGTACCACAGGGCTCCATTCTATCCCCTCTGCTATTTAACATCTATATGAAACCGCTGGGAGAGGTCATCAGGAGGTGTGGGCTGCGGAATCATCAATACGCTGATGATACCCAGCTTTACCTCTCATTCTCCACTAATCCAGGTGAGGCAGTGGCTGTGCTGAACCGGTGCTTGGCCGAGGTAAGGGAATGGATGAGGGCCAATAAACTGAAACTCAACCCAGACAAGACGGAGGTCCTGTTGGTTGGCGGATCGGGTTTCGGAGAGGGTGGATTTGACCTGGTCCTGAATGGTGCAACACTCCCTCTTAGGGATAAGGTCCGCAGCTTAGGTGTACTCCTCGACCCGGAGCTTTCTTTGGAAGCTCAGGTGACAGCGGTAGCGAGGAACGCCTTCCGTCAGCTTCGGCTGATTAATCAGCTGCGCCCCTACCTGGAATACGACTGCCTGGCGACGGTGACGCACGCACTGGTGACTTCCCGCCTAGACTTCTGTAACGCGCTTTACGTGGGGCTTCCCCTGAAGACAGTCCGAACACTTCAATTGGTGCAAAATAGAGCTGCCAGGTTGCTGACGGGGACGGGGCGTTATGCTCACATGACTCCAGTCCTCCATCAGCTTCACTGGCTTCCCATTGAAGCCCGGGCCCAATTCAAGGTGTTGATTATGACCTACAAAGCCCTAAACGGCTTGGGTCCTGGCTACCTGAACGAGCGCTTACGTCCGTATATGCCCGACCGCCCTTTGAGATCTGCGGGAGAGTCCCTTCTCCGGGAACCCTCCATGAAAGAAATTAGGAGAGTAAGTACCCGGAGGAGGGCTTTCTCTGCGGTGGCGCCCAACCTATGGAATTCACTCCCCAAAGAGGTCCGCCTGGCACCGTCGTTACTGGTTTTTCGGCGCCAGGTAAAGACCTTTTTATTTAAACATCATTTCAATTGTTAAAACATATGATCTGGCCTGGGCAACTTCTTCTTCCTTCTCTTTCTCCTCCTATATTTTTATTTTATACTGATAATTTTAATTTTGTATTTGTAAATCAATGCATTTTTTGTATTGTTATATTTAATGGTAATTTATTATGTACTATTGTATTTCAATGTATTTTATCATGTTGTAAGCCGCCCCGAGGTTTCGGCAAGGGGCGGCATAGAAATGTTATAATAATAATAATAAAAAAAATAATAAATCCCTGACAGTCTGGTGGGGAATGTCAGAAATACAGCACGGCATAATGTTGAGGGCTTCCAGGTGATTTTTTTTATCTTTCCCAGAGAAAAAAACCTGGAATCTCTATCCAAGCCTTCCCATCTGTGAGAACAAATATGATGTAGTGTTTTCTTGACAAAGCCAGATATATCCTTACCGTGTTTGACAGCCCATGCAGCTGAATATATTACCAGTTCCGGCCCCCTCCAGTTCATTTTAGAGAAGCACAGATGTACAAGAGTCCCCCTGGAGAGAGCCACAAATCCCTAGAGG